TCATTTGCATAATGGACTAGGGCCTGATGGACCCAGTCCTCTTCTGAGCCAAAAAACAGATGGCCCTTTAACTGGTCTTTAGTCCAAACAAAACAGCAGAATTTGATCATTTTATGTTTGTCCTTATTCTCTGTATCCTCTCTGTACTACAGTAGACTATCTGAGGGAATATGAAGAGACCCCACCTCTTTGTGGGTTTCTCTTCCCTTACCCCTAGGCCTAGAATTTTTGTTCCCCATCCTAGACCAGGCTAGTTCCTGCTCCTGAGTTTCCCTCGGGGCACCAAAGGCCCCTTTAATGGAGGTTTCCTGTGTATTCTCCAGAACCAACTTTGTCCGTCTCCACCTGTTTTCTTTGCGGGAGAACTGAACCACAGATCTAGACTCCACATTCCCTTCATATCTAGAATACGTCTCAGTCACACACACTCAGCCTCTCACAATTTCCCATCCCCCAGGCAATACTTATAGTCCAATTTTCCTACCTTGGTCTGTGCACAGAGTTACCAGGTTGCCGCGGTGCCTTTTACGCTTTCCCCAGGGTCACTTCTTCTGTCTCCAAATGCAAAAATCTTGAGCTCCATGGATTCTACAGGGACCAGGGGCCTGTCCGTGGAAAGGGCATGCAAACCGGGGTGGGAGATGTCTCCTCTCTCGCAGGAGGACCTAGACCCCACGGGTAGAGGTGAATCCTGGGCAAGCCCCCAAATGTGAGAAATATGCCTGCTGACCCAATCAAAGGAGGGACCCGGAGACTCGGGGGGCACAGTGAAGTGAGGCTTTGATCAATGTTCTTGCAAGAGCAATATGGACAGGCACACTTGGGGCAGTTACAGCAGTCAATTTATCTCCTAAGGTGAAGTCCCTCCCATCATTCCTCATGGGCTGAGTACTACAGAGGTTATAGCCTTACCTGGATGTCACCTATGCCCAAGTAAGGCAAAAAGTAATCTGACTATTGTACTATATGCTAACTAACTTGGATGTAAGTTAAAAAAAATAAATTAAAAAACAAAAAAAAAAAATGTGGTAAATACATACAATGGAATATCATTCAGCCACAAAAAAGGAAGGTATCTTGCCACTTGTGACAACATGGATAGACCTTGAGCACATTATGAAATAATGTCAGATAAGTCAGAAAGAGAAAGGCAAGTACTATATGATACCAGTTTTATGTGGAATCTAAAAAAGCCAAATTTGGAAAAAACAGAATAAAATAGTGGTTTCCAGGGAGGGCGTGGGTAATAAAATTGATGTTGTCTAAGGGTACAAACTTGCAATGAATAAATTAGCCATAGAGATCTAATGAACAGTATAATGAATCCAGACAATATGGTATTATAATTGTATAATGTGATAAATACTGCTATAACAAGAATCATATTAAAATATAGAAATGTATCAAACTAATACATTGTACACCTTAAATTCACACCATGGTATATGTTAAATTGTTAAATAAATAAATAAATAAATAAATAAATAAAGCCTTTTAAAAAAAAAAGTAATCTGATTGGAACAAATGTACATTTCTTTAGGTGAGGCACAGAGACTTCAGTTCTTTGGCTTGTACTCTTTGCAAAGCCTGTAAAAATAAGCCCCAGAAATGTAAATGGGAAGAACCAGGAAGTGAAGGGTCTAAGGGTTTGGGACTCCTTGAGGGGGGGTGGGGGGAGAAATCATACATAATTCCAGTAAGTTGTGAACCTATTGTTAACTAAACAGCACAACTTTTATTTGACATTTCTGAAAATGAATCATCTCACTTACTTCTCACACAGAGGTAGCTGAAGGCCAAACTATGGAGAACTTTGAATGCCAGGCTACATTTTGTTGAACCATGCTGATGAGGTTTAGTGGTGATGGTGGGGGTTCAGAGCGGACGGCCAAGAAAAAATTCTTGAAGACAACTTCAGTGCAAAAAGGTGATTTTACTAAAACACAGGGACAGAGCTGTGGGCAGAAAGAGCTGCACTGGGGTTGTGAAGAGTGACTGGTTATATACCTGGGAGTTGTGTGTGGGAAGTAAAGTCAAGGGGAAGTTTCCAATGGGATTTTCATATTCTAAAGACTCACAAAATCCATGGAGGCCTAGCTATTGTCAAACTAAGATTGCTTTTCCCTCTAACAAAGCATTAACATTATGATAGTAGGGAGTTCCTGGACTTCAGGCTATTGATAAAATTGCCCCCTTTTTGTAATTGTACCAAGGTATTTGTAAACTGATGGAGACCCAAGTCCTGTATGACTGTGATCTCTATCAGTTAACCATTTGTTTTTTTCCTTTGTTTTTGGGCAGCCAAGAGTGCCTGAGGGATATCACATATTTGGGGGCAGGGGGGTAGTGCTAGCTTGTGCTTGGCCCTTAGCTTGCCTTATGCTCCCTCATCAATGCTAACTTCCAGCTAAGGCCATTATATCCAAATTTCACAAAAAAAGAACAGACTACACAATTTATGGCAATTTATAAGCATATTCATCTGATACAAGAAAAAATTCTTTCTATGTAGGAAAAACACAAGCACATGCATAAGAATATTCCTCCAAAGACATTAAAAAATAGCATTCAAGTGAAAACAAGTATGAATCCCTTTCCGAATCTTACTGGCCTTCCTCATAATTACAAATGTTGTTAATGGATCTAGATTAACAGGAAATAACCTGAAAAAATATCAGAACTGGGTAGTATCTTTGAGCTTCTAAAGGGAAGAAGTAAAAAGAAATGTACTATCACCATTCCCCTCAAACCTTAATACCAACTAGTTCACATGCATCAACTGTATGTAAAATCTCCTTTTACAGAAATTTTCCTATGCTCTTGACTAAATAAAAGCATAAAGTCAAACAACCAAAAACCTCAACTGGATCCTGGATGGTGAAAAAAATATCAAAGTATCAGCTACAGGGGTGTCTGGGTGGCTCACTCGGTTGAGAGTCTGACTCCTGATTTCAGCTCAGGTCTAGATCCCAGGGTTGCAGGATTGAGCCCCTCGTCGGGGCTCTGTGCTGAGTGTGGAGCCAGTTTGGGATTCTCTTTCTCTCTCTCTCTCTCTCTCTCTCTTCCTCCGCCCACCCCTCTCCCTAGCTCATGTTCTCTTTCTCTCTCTTTCTAAAGAATTAAAAAAAAAAATTAGTATCAGCTACAGAAAGCAATTATGAGACAAGGAAATCTGAGTATGTAATAGATATTTGATTATGTAATTCTGCTAATTTCCTTAGAAATGGCATTATGGTTATTAGGAGAAAGTCCTTATTCTTTAAGTACATAGCAATGAAAAGTAACAAATGCAACTTACTTTAAATGTTTTAGATTAAAAAGCATATATAGAGAAAAAAGAAATAAAGTAATTGTGGCAAAATGTCAATTTTTGGATCCACATGGCAAGTATATGAATGGTCAGATACTTTTTTTCAAAATTTTCTGCATCCCAAGCGATGTGACACTTAATCTTGGAGAATATATAAAAAGACCTGGTTATTCTTTAATGTTTTTTTTATATAAAAAATTTTTTAATGTTTCTTTTTTGCGAGAGAGAGAGAGAGAGAGAGAGAGACAGACAGACTGTGAGAAGGGGAGGGAGGGGCAGAGAGAAAGGGAGACACAGAATCCAAAGCAGCCTCCAGACTGAGCAGTCAGCACAGAGCCAAAGGCGGGGCTGGAACTCACCAACCTGGAGATCAAGACCAGAGCTGAAATCAAAAGCTTAACCTACTGAGCCACCCAGGTACCCTAAGGCCTGGTTATTCTTAAAATGTTTTTCTTTGTAGCAGTTTCTTGCTGGTTTCTTAACACTTCAAATAATACTCTGAACCTGGGTGTCTTAGTATTCTTTTATATAGCTAAGGACGATGAAATAGAAATCCTCAAGAAAGGGGTGACTGGGTGGTTCAGCTGGTGAACTATCTGACTTCAGCTAAGGTCATGATAGCGCAGTTTGTGGGTTCTAGCCCGGCTTCCAGCTCTGTGCTGACAGCATGGAGCCTGCTTCTGATTATGTGTCTCCCTCTCTCTCTCTCTGCGGCTCCCCCACACGCTCGCTCTTCTCTCTCAAAAAATAAACATTAAAAAAAAAATCTCAAGAAACAAGGATTTGCTAAGGCTTCTATTTTCACATACAGAAACACAGCATGATAGTCTGAGTGCGCCTCCTAAACAATATTTTGGAGTAGTGGCGCTAGGCTGCAGACCTTAACATTTTTTTAGGATCTTCACCTGTTGGAAAAACTCACGAAAGCTATAAAGCTTCTCCCCAGAATGCACAGAACCCAAATTCTGTACACAATTTCAGGTTCCACATATCGCTTCTACAGCCTGTACATAAGGCAAAAACCTTCGCCTATTCTTTTCTGAGCTGCTGATAATGCTAAAGATAAATAAGGTCGTTTAGCGCGTAAAATTGATATGAGCTGAAGCACTAGTAGCTCTTCCGCAGGCGTAAAACTTCTCTCGTAAACTTCCCGCTTTTATGAGAAAGGTGAGTTTCTTAGGTGTAAAGTCAAATACGGCATTCACAACTTGCGCTCCTCTGGCTGCTGTTAAATGGACAAAAACCCAATTCCAAAGCAGAACAAAATGTCTTCCTACGTGACACAACCGCGGTTCCTGTATGTCTCTTCCCCGTTATCTACACCACACCGGCCGCGACACCAGGCGCGACTCTGCCCTTCCGTTTCTCCTTGAAAGCGTTCGAAAACAGCACACAGTTACAACCTCTGAGCCACAAAGCCTATAAAGGGATTGTGGGTATTGTAGTCCAGTGCACATGCGCAACAGGAGGTTAGGGTGACTTACAGAGGCTGAAAAAGAACCCACTGCTTAGCGAACCGAAGGTCAATCGTTCTTGATACCCCAAGCAAGGAAACAGAATAACGTTGACCGACGAAGTCGGAATACATCCCTCGAACTACACGTCCCAGTGTGCTTTGCGCAGCGCGGCCATTGCGCCTGCGCCCTCGCAGCCGGTTACTAGCGTCTGCGAGGCTGCAGTTCCCGCTGGTGCCGGCACCGCAGAGACCAGAGCTGAGGGTCGACCGCCGTCACAGCGGAAGAGCAAGGGAAAGGATGTGGGTTTTTGGTTACGGGTCCCTGATCTGGAAAGTGGACTTCCCCTATCAGGACAAGTTGGTTGGATACATCACAGGCTACAACAGGCGCTTCTGGCAGGGGAGCACCGACCACCGCGGGGTCCCGGGCAAGGTGAGGCGCCAGTCAGCCCCCCACCCTTAACTGCCTTCGGAGCGCCGCTTCCCACCCAACTCGCGGTCCAACTCTGCTGGACCTCCACCCCAACATTTACGATGACCGAGCAAGAAAGTTAGGAATATTGCTGTTACATCTGTGCACCTTTCTCTCCACCTGCCCTCTACTTCTCTCCCAAACCAAGGGCACTACTTCCGAAGCCTCTTGAGACGCTGATGGTTAGTTTCTTGGGAAAGCAAGAAACAGGGGCAAAGGCACACAAGCTCGCCCGAGGCTGATGGGCTGGCAGGAAGCCCCATCTGTGAGCGACCTCTGCCATTCAAAAAAAAAAAAAAAAAAAAAAAAAAAAAAAAAAAAAACGGCGGGAAAATCAATCTCCGTTTCACCACGGACTTGAATACTAAAATCAACCTGCACATTCAGCTTTAGCTTTTTAGCAATTAAATTTGTTGGCATTTCTGCATTCTGGCAGACTTTCATTGGTTTAAGTTTAAACAAGCATATTATTTCCAAAGGTTTTATTTTATGACATCTAAGGTCACAAAGGAACTAGTTTCCAAAATTATCTCCGGTTGTTAAGGAGCTTACCGTGATCACTTACTTTGGTTGTCAGGTATCGGCGAAGTTAAATATTTGAGTTCTCGGTTTGTTACTTGAGTAACACAGTGCCCATTACTGTGTCCAGCATTATTTTAATCTTTATTTCTCCACGTTTCTCCTCTAAATTATAAATGTGAAATATAAGTTCCTTGATCTATTTTTCAGTCATTAGAAGACTTTCATCCCAATATATGTATACTAGAAAACTAGTAGCAGCTCAGCCTTGTATTGGCTGCAAAACAACCAATCCACAAGGAAAACAAGATTGTGGGTAACAATTTGGATAACTTAAATACTGTACTTGGTTTACTTAACCTAACTTTTGGAAGTGCACAAAATTTTTTATTGTTTGTATGTTCTCTAAAGTACTCAGAGCTACACAATATGGTAGGCAAATGACTGGAAAACGGTAGTGACTTAGGGCAAATGCACATTTGTAAGCCAACAGGAGCTTCATGTCCAAAATTTCTTCTAGACTATTATAAAAGAGGGGTGCCTGGCTGGCTCAGTCGGTAGAGCATGCAACTGGATCTCAGGGTTTTAAGTTCAAGCCCCACACTGGGTGTAGAGATTACTTAAAAATAAAATCTTAAAAAATATATATATTATAAAACAATGTTTAAGACTTTAAAGAGTTAAATAAAACTTCTAAGTGAAGTAAAATGCCTTTTGAGTTGTCAGATACGAACACTTAAAATTTCTATTCTGAAGAAAGAAAGGCTCCAATTTTAATGACGAAGTATTAAATGCTTACAAATGTTTTGATAGCATATTTTACTATTCTAGTTTCAATCAAAACATATATGTTTGTTATATAGCATATTGAGATATGTACACTGTTGGAACAGAACAATAAGAAGTTGTCAAGTCAATACAACAGCTCATGATTCTTTAAAAAAGAAAGGAGCTATAAAAGCCAGTATCTTTTTACTTAAATTTACTAAAATATAGGGCAGGTAAGTTGGGGTACAAGGGGACTGCAATGGCTAATAGTTTTACACTTACTTTTTGTTAAAGAATACATCATAGAAAATTAAAGGAAACTCTATTTTTTTAAGTATACTATTTTGTTAAAACTGGAAAGAATATTATTTTAATATTTTTTATTACAATGGATCACCAGCCTTATATAAATACAAAAGGCTACAAAGATATCCAGCAAATTAGAAGAATGATGTGGATGTTTTATAGGACTATGTTTTTTATAGCAACATATGCTCCTAGTAAGTTAGTCATCATTACATATGAAATGTGATATTATTAAACAAATGTTAGGCTCATTTCCACATACTGCGATGTGACATTTGTGGGAAAAATACCAAACCTACTTCAATTATGGTTTCTTTTTAGCTTCATTAAACTTTAATTTCTTCCTAAGTTTTATTAAGCATCTCATTTATATATAAAAAAACTGGCACTGTCTCACCCAAATTAAGGATTTATTTAAATGTGAAAAAGTTTTCACAGCAGAGAGAATATATTTCAATTTCAAAAAGAAACATTTTAACACGAGATAATCATGAACATTTACTAAATCTCTAACTCTTCTAGACCTAGATCAGAAAAATTACTCATTACTCAATGAAAGCATCTATAATGACTCATTTCACAATATCCTCCAACCCATTCAGCTTGAAAGACCCCTGCTTTAGTTTCAGTCCCCCCAAAAGCCTTTCATGTGACTTACAAATATACATTGTTTCTCAATAATATATATGTATTTTAGAGACTAAGAACATAAATTTTAGAAAATGTTTCCAAGTAAATTTTCAGTAGTGCCAAAAGTCCATATCTGTTCCATAAGCTGTCACAGGGAGTCCTTTATATCCCCTTAAAATGAGTCCCTATGTACTCTTGTTTTCTGTTTCAGCTGCCACCACCTAAGTCCAGGACTTTTCTACCACTCCTTCCCCTTTCAACAATTACTACTGAGCACTTAGGAGACAGCTATGCAAACAATACCTGACAAGTGCCACAGGGAAGTGAATAAAAGGGAAAATCACAGTTTAGGAGAAAAATGTGCTGCAAAGTCACCTGAGGAGTCAGCCAAGCCTTTATGGATGTAGTGCAGGAGGATATCCCAGAGACAGAAAAGCAAGGAAGGGCATTCTATACTGAGCACTGGTATATCCAAAGATACGAATGTTTGTTAAAGTTACAAATAAATCAGTACAGATTGAGGGAAAAAGTGGTAAGAAATAAGGGTTGTAGTTAAATCATGCTGAGAACTTTTAGTTTTATCCTGTAGAATTTTTAAACCCTGAAAAAATTCAAAGCACAGGAGTGAGTGACCCAATTTTTGCACTAGAAAGTCATTCTTCTGCCAAGTAGAGAATAGACTAGAGGTAAACAAAACTAGAGGCAGGCAACAAGGTCCCTAAGGAAGCAAATGAAGGATACAGAGGAACAACATACAGAAAAAGATTCAATAGACAGTTACCAGTAATTGGTGACTGCTGGATACAAGGGGAGACAAGGAAAGGTGGAGTGCAGAACTTGTCACCAGGACCACGAACATTTCTTACTCAGGGTCTACCTTCTTCCCACTCTAACCATACTATACACTTTACCACTCATCTTCCCCAAACACCTTTTATCATGCCAGTCAGCTACTAGTCAAGTGCTGCAGTAGCTCCTAATTTCCTATTTCTCCCAAATTTCAGTGGCTTCTTATTTTCCATTGTCCCCTAATTTCACCTCCACTCTGGCTCTTCAAATCTGACTATCCTATTTCTCCAATTTTCTTTCTGAATCATCTCTCCAGGTGGGGCCCTCTGCTAGTCAAACATTTAGCCTGGTGTAGTCTTGCCTCTAGGCCTGCACTTGTAAATCATGCCCTTTTGCCAGAATTTTGTTTTCCTTTCTGACCACCCAAGACTCAAAATTCTTAATTGCCTTCATACCATACATCTTAGCCCTTAAGTGTTCTCTACCTGTTTCATGTGTTAAGTTTGTGTTCCAGAATTATAATATAAACTCTTGAAAGCAAGAATTAAGGTTTTATCTTCTCTACAACACACACTAAGTAGTCAATAAATAGCTCCTAATTCATCTTGAAATTGAAAGTAATATGGAAGTGCCTACATAACCCACACCAAGATATGTGTCCTCATTATAGCATTATCTTAAATAGAAAAAAGGTGAAATTGAAATGCCCAACACAGGAATGTTTAAATTATAGCTCATTGATGATACGATATTATGCAACTATTAAAACGTATGATAAGACTAACAGGAAAATGTAATTAAATTAAATAAGAAACATAATCCCAAATCCCATGTTTTCCGTGATTACAAATTGTCTATACAAATGGACAAAGACCAGAAGGAAATAGCAATGAAGATGACACAAATACCTGAATTATTTATGCTCCCTGTGTGTCAGACAATGGGCAAATAAATATGTTAAAATGTGGCTTAGAATTCAGCATTCTCACCAATGATGCTAACATGTCAGTAGATACATAGCCTTTGGCACCAGGTAGGAAGTGTACTTTAAAAAAAAAAAAAAAAAGGCAAATTCTCAAACAGCTCTAAATCTACAGGATCATTAACTCTGGGACTGTACACAAGCAGTGTGTTTATCAACCCTCCATGTAATTGTGATCTACACTAAAGTTTGAGGGCCACTTCCCTATTATAGGAAAGCACTCTGGAAGAGCATGTTTTGTTCCCTAATAAAACTATAGCGATCTGATCAGAACTTTTATAATTGCTTCTTCGTCTTTCATTTTACATGAGCCTTAGTCACAGGTATTTTTTTTAATATATCCATTTTTTTAAGTGAATATAATATAGCTAATATACATAAATTGAAGGGAATCTTTTAGAAAAGTCAAGATACTTTGGATAATGTATATTCTTAATTCACTTGAAAATTTATCATAAAAATGAGTACTTTATGGAGGTGTTTAGTATGAACAATTAAAATATTCCATGTCAACAATAAATTGGTAATGCTCAGTTAGTTGATAAACTTTGATTCAGAAAAAAAAATTTTTTTTTTTTTTACTTTTTTTAAAACAGCCTGGAAGAGTTGTGACTCTTGTTGAAGATCCTGGGGTATGGTATTATTGTTCTTTTTTTGTGTAGTCTTTAATCATACAAAATGTTGAGATGTTTCTCAGTTTTAATAATCAATGGAATTTTATTAACAGTCATCACAGACAGCTTGAACAGTAGGTCTAGAATTCCTCTCTGTATTTATTGTGTTTCTTTTTAACTGTTGGGAAAAGCTGGAATGCAGAATGCCCGGTAGACAGCAAAATAAAACCAAATGGCATGTAGTCTTTTTTTTTTTTTTCTTGAGTTTATTGACTAAGAATTTGGCATTAATGGCGCTAGGCCTCAGACAGCCATACTGCCACTGAGGCACACTTGGCCATACTTGCCACATCAAGTGGAACCATTGAAACTCTCGTATTTGCTAGGAGTATACTATTCTCAGCAAAAATCCCTGTCAGGAGTTACCACTTTCTTTCTTGCCTAATTTTTTAGTAGCACAACAGGTTTTTAAACAGGTTTGGGGCACTAGAAAACGTATTTACCTGATAGTCCTCTGTTTCTTAAATATTTTCAATCATTTCATTGAGGTATAGATTCAGACGTTCATAGTGTGAAGGTAAAAATTTAACTTTGGAAATGACTCTGATATACAAAAGTCAAGCAGCTATCAACAGGAAATGAATAATGGTGAAATAATGAAATGCTTTCCTAATTTACATTAGGAAAAGCATCTATAAAAATGGCCTCAAACTGGTAACTGTAACTCTTAATTAAAGTCAATAAACAGCACTTTGTTTCTACAGAATGTTAAACTCACTCAAGAACCGGGCACCGGATGGCTCAGTTGGTTGAGCATCCAACTTCGGCTCAGGTTATGATCTCACCGTTCCCGAGTTCGAACCCCACAGTGGGCTAGCTGTCAGCCTGTCAGTGCAGAGCCCACCTCAGATCCTCTGTCCCCCTCTCTCTGACCCTTCCAAGCTTGCACTCTCTCAAAAATAAACATTAAAAAAAAATTCACTCAAGAAGATACTTTGCAACCTAGAGTTTAATAATTAAAGCTAGTAATTAAAGGTTGTGAAAAAACTAGATAATCTATAACTACAAACTATAAATAAATCCTGTTTATATCAGGTATTTTATTAACACTAAAAAACAAACCAAAAAACCTCTGCAGCCAGGTTTTTACTGACACTTTTTTCATGGGCTCTCAACAAAAGAGACTGCCATTTAGTATTCTGCATGGAATTATTTACAAAGGATATTTGAAAGCTCCTGCAGTGAAAAAATGAAGAAAATGAACTTGCTATGGCCTTCAGTAGTTGATTGCTTTCTTACAGACCTTTTAAAACAAAGAACCCTTTCTGTAAATAAGGAAACAGCCGGTAAAAAGATAAGTGACGCTCAGTTTTAGCTAAAGTAAGTTGGTGTATCAAAGCCCTCCCAGATAGCACCCAGCACTTACATCCCCAAAGGTAGGCTCCCAAGTGGCTACAACACTCCATAAAGCAGTTTGGAAACTACCGTCCTGTACCATCAGTGAAATGTTTAAGGATTTAAAACTTTAGAACTGTGTTTAATGACCAAATGAACACCTGATTTTTTTTCAGTCCCACTAGTTAAAAGATACGATTTTTAAAACTTAAACAATGTTAAATATCCTAGTGTGCAAGAAATTACTTATTCAGACTGAAGAATTTAAAATGCTGATTTCCTTTATTGTTTAGTTTGTACCTCCCAGTGCGCTTTAAAAAAAAAAAAAATTAATGTTTATTTTTGAGAGAGAGAGAGATAGACAGACAGTGTGTGAGCAGTGGAGGGGCAGAGAGGGAGACACAGAATCCAAAGCAGGCTCTGGGCGCTCAGCACGGAGCCCAATGTGGGGCCAAACCGTAAGGTCATGACCTGAGCCGAAGTTGGATGCTTAACCATGGAGCCACCCAAGCACCCCTCAGTGCACTTTAAGTGAATCAAAACTACACTGACTTCTAAGAACATACAGCTATTTTCTTAGAGCATAACATATCTTCACCTATTTTAGCCCTGTAAATTCTAAATAATACGTTCTTTTCATTTTTCAACAGGGTTGTGTATGGGGTGTTGCTTACAGACTGCCAGTAGGAAAGGAAGAAGAAGTAAAAGCATACCTTGACTTCAGAGAGAAAGGAGGCTACAGGACCACAACAGTCATTTTTTATCCAAAAGATCCCACAACAAAACCATTTAGTGTGTTGCTATATATTGGAACATGTGATAATCCTAATTATCTTGGTCCTGCACCTCTGGAAGACATTGCTGAACAAATTTTTAATGCAGCTGGTCCAAGTGGAAAAAATACAGAATATCTTTTTGAACTTGCAAATTCTATTAGGAACATTGTGCCAGAAGATGCAGATGAGCATCTTTTCTCTTTGGAAAAATTAGTAAAGGAACGTTTAGAAGGAAAACAGAACCTCAATTGCTTATAAAGACCTAATCATTGACTTTTTCAAACAAGCAGAGCTTTTAGTCTTCAGAGAATAGGTTCATGTACACTGGCAATATGATTTGGAAACATGTTTGTTTACTTGAAGATCTTATTTATTTTTAATGTTGTATTATTCAAGCTATGATCAAATGTGTGGTTTAATTGCACATATCCTAAAACACATAAATATTTAAAATACTGGGATAGAGTTAAAGAAAAATTCAAGTTTTAATAATATAATGGTTTCCTAGCTAAATAATATTGAACACTTGCTCATGAGAAGTGAGTTCTTTAGAAAAGTACAATGAAGGATGAAGTTCAGAGCTTGTTATTTTCAGAGTAAAAATAATTGTGTCATTTCATGTCACAATTCTATTTTCAAGTTGTAGAGAATTAAACCAAAAGATAATACCTTCAATATATTTCTGTACAGTAATTCTGTAACCATGGTTTAGAATATATAATCTTAAAATAATGTATAATTAGAAATATATGGTAATATAGACAAGATTTCAACCTTGATTGTGAATTTCCTTGTTCAGGTATTATATAAGACCCTTTCCAATTTAAATCAAAAAGACTGGCATTTTTAATATAAAAATTTCCTTAGAATTATAATGTACTATACTTCTTTTTTGAATAAATGCATTTTACTAGAATGAAAAAAACATTCCGCTAAAAAAAGCACAACTTACAATGTACCAATCACATCCACGAAATGACAAAATGTAGTCTGTCATTCACTCACTTTGTATTAATCTTACAGTGAAACTTGAAAAAAAGATAGATGGCCATTCTGATATTACAAATTAACACAACCATATATATAATGAAAGTTTAGTGCTTGAAATGACTTTTAGAATTATAGTTTTTTAGGGGCACCTGGGTGGCTCAGTAGGTTAAGCATCCAACTCTTGATCTTGGCTCAGGTCATGATCTCATGGTTCGTGAGATGGAGCCCTGTGTCCAGCTCTGTGCTGACAGCGCAGAGCCACCTTGGGATTCTGTCTCTCTCTCTGTCCCTCCTCTGCTCACTTGTGCGTTCTCTCTCTCTCAAAATACACATGAAAGAAAAAAGAACTGTAGTTTTTTAAAATGTATAAGATTAACTCATGTAGAATTGATCTTGATTCTAATGAAGATTATTTTTTCTTTTTTTTTTTTTTTAA